TTTAATCTATAAAATGTGCTAGCAGATTACCTGGAAAATATATAAAATAAAAAACTCCTACACAAGGAATTGGAATTTCTTTACTTTTAGCACAACCAAAGAGCTAATGGTTGTGCTAAATGTTTTTAACAATTTACTTTCTTTTTACTTTTAACGTACAGGCTAGGCAAAGTAGGTAAATTAGTTAACTCTGGCACTGGCGTTCATACATACAGAATTTCTCTACTGGACACCCGAGGCATAATGCGGGAATAAGGTCCCCAGAATGCGGAAGTGCTAACGTGGTTTTTTTTACGTATCTCTGCTGCTATAGTCACTCCAGTAAAAGCTGAACAGAGGACTAAGAGCATCCCAGTGTACCCACAATGCCAAACACAAGACAAGTTGTAATTTCTATTTGCCACAGGCTATCCTTTCCAATCAAATCCTAAAGCTAAATAGCTTCCTGCTATATAAATGCTAACAATAAGGTGTCCCCATGTCATTTTTTTTTTATGGCAGGTGCAAGTAAAGAGAATGGGAGGAGAAACAAAAGAACACAAGTTAATTGGGATTTAGGGGCTAAATCACTTTGTTTATGCAGTTCTGATCATACCTCCAATGCATGTGAACTACACAGACTCCCTAAACAATTCCTGTAAAGCGAGAGCTAATATTTAAAATTATTTTATTGCACAGTCTGTTTAATTTTAGAGATAAAACCTTCTGCAGTACACTGTCACATCTGATTGAAATGAAACCACATTTTTCATGCAGGCCGTGTGAGTCATAATCAGGGGATGTGTGGCTAGGGCTGCATAAACAGAAACAAAAGTGATTTAACTGAGCAGTGAGACTGCAGGGACTTGATCTATAACCAGACTTCCCCAAACTCCGGCCTTCAGATGTTGCTGAACTACAACTCCCATGATTCTATGAATGAAATAGATAGGCAGAGAATCATGGGAGTTGTAGTTCAGCAACATCTGGAGGACCAGAGTTTGGGGAAGCCTGATCTACACACTAAAACTGCTTCATTAAGCTAAAGTTGTTTTGGTGCTTAGGGTAAATCTTTAAATGAGATTTACAGAGAAGTTTGTGAAATTAGTTTTATCTAATTTGCTTACTTTCTGAGTGAAGAAATGTATTTGCATGCGAACATTAGAGGACAGAAAACTAAAAATTGTCAGGACCATGTACCTGGGATGTTTTTTGCCCAACTGATTATTATGACAATCTCTCGGTCTGCTAGGTCACAAAGTGTGCTCATAGATTTCAGATAGCCATCAGGAAGCGCTGGGTCTGGCATTGCAAACAGCTTGTCTGGCTCCGCAACCAGCAAGTGTGATACAACTGCGTTCATAGGAACTGAAACGGACAGGAGAGTGATTAAGTAACATGTGAAAATAAGACAGGAATATGATAGAGAGGGGAGAGAATGTCACCACACCGCACTGAGAAATAATTCAGAAGAATCAGTAAAACAATTGTGGACACATATTGAAAATATGACACAGTTACCTATTCCTTTGGCTCCTATTTATATCAAGAAATTCAGAAAAAAAAAGTTAAACTTTGAACAATTAGCATATAAACAAATTGAATTCCACTGCAGATTGTTCCAACATTGCAAATTTAGCCTAGAACTGTTCTTGAATGATATTGCCCATTGTGCAAATATGGGAAGATGAAGAGGATGTTAAAAGGTACACTCTAAGCACCAGAACCACTACAGCTTAATGTAGAGGTTTTGCTGCAAAGAGTCCGTTCCTGCACCCTATCATTTGTAAACACTGCCTTTTCTGTTAAGGCAGTGTTTACAGTTAGCCCAAAGGGCATTTCGAGTAGCTGTGACTCAAATAGGTGTTATCATGATTGGCATAAAGATATGGGATAATTTATCGCTATGAAGAGATGCTGATTGCCACCCATGAGTAATAGGCCCACCAATGCTTCTCTAAAGAGGAGCATTGGATTGGCTGAGATCATCGGTAATGATGACTTTAGCCAGTGGTAGGCAGCAGCTGTGACAACACCAGCGTGGTTATGGAGAAAATGTGAGTAATTATCCTTTTTTTAGGCTTATGGGGGAGAGGCCTTAACTTTAAAACTGCAAGATATAACTCTGTTGAAAAAATGGTTTTATTTTTTACATTAAAGTTTCCCTGTAAGTACAGAAAAAGGAAAGGTGAAAGACAAAGTGACAATAAGATAGGGAAAGAGGCTGTGGTTAGGGTGGGTACAAGCAATTATATATTTAGATTTTTAGATGCATTATGCTGGTCTACGTACATGCATCTTTCATCAACCACAAGCACCCACTCTTCCTTACATATCTATTTATATCTAAGACACCCATAAAAACACACACTTTCTCCTTTAGACATGTATACTATATCACACACACTCTACCTTGGACATGACTGAAAGCACACACTCTCTTACACGTGTATACAAAACATTCACTATACTCTTACACATGTATAGAAAACACACACTACATTCTCCATTACACATGCACACAAAACACTCCCTTACACAAAAAAATATATGAGTTGTCCTTCCTAGGCCAGCTGGTTTCTGTCTGCCACTAAAATCAGTTTTTTGATCTGGATTATGGAATTACTGTAAAGGAGTAGTTATGATAGTGACAGACTGGTACAGAATCTTACCTTGCTTCTTCACCATATTTGCTGGACCTTGCTGGACATGTCCTCCTGGGGTATATTGCATAATATCTCCTTCAGGCCTCCTTTTGTATTTTTGACGACCACCTCTCACACGATCCAAACGTACTCCTGCACAAAACCAGGAAAAAAAATACAAACTCATTCGAAAACTCAAAGCAAAGGTATATTAACCCCTTAAGGACCAAACTTCTGGAATAAAAGGGAATCATCACATGTCACACATGTCATGTGTCCTTAAGGGGTTAAACACTGCAAAAAGCTAGTGATGTGGACCGGGAATGTATTCACAGAGCCAGGAAGCAAAGACGTATACTGCATTACAGCAATACATAAATTAAGAAAACTCAGAGAAGATTAAATGTCTGATAAAGATTCATTTAGTAATTAGTACATGGATTCATAATGACAGCTATCAAGGTCTAGCAACACATTCACAAATATCTATTAACCTATAGTCACGGACTAATGGGTTTGTCTTTAAAATCTCTGCATCAGAAGGCATTCTATTAACAGGACATTTAAAGTACAGAAAGCCTATTGTAAGTAAGCTAATTCTCCTATGCAGCTTTATGGACTTTGGGTACATCAGGTAGGCACATCATTGGTCATTCATGATTGGTAGTTGTAGTATTCTAGCTCAAGACGTGGAGTGTTTTTTCAAAGATGTTGGACCAGAAAGAAAGATGTATGACATTTGTCCCTTTCTTAGATGTGTAAAGTGACCAATGTGATGAAAATAAGAGTAGCCGTTGATGTTTGGTCAACTTTATGTGTTTAGAGTTTCAACCCCATCATGTATTTTTGTTTCAATTACCTTGCTGACACAAAGTTTGTCACATTTGTAGGGATCGTCCGATCTCCCCCATAACACACCCAATTCAATCTTCCACAACGTTCTATTCCATTCTTTAATAATTCCATCACTTCTTCTCCTATACCCTCCTTTTACACCATTACATGCACTGGACTGTTTAAAAAAATGTCAGATGGGGTTTTTTTTTCCTTCCAAAAAGGCAGCAATTAAATGAGGTGGCACTTTATCGAAATGCAGATCACAATCTGTATAATTAACTGTTGTCATCAACAAAATATTGGAGTAGCCTTTTAAACACACCAATGTGAAAATTGCTAGTATTCCTTGTATAAAATTTATAAAGACTCTTTTTACAGTGATAGTTATGTATACAAAATTGATTGCACCTCCCACATAACGATTTCATTAACACCTCTCTTTTAAAGTCAGTTAAGTGATTTCTGCTGCAATGTCTCCCCCACTCCAATTTTATCCACTAGTGTTAACACACTACTTATATATGAACAGATATACAGAATTACAGCTGTTAAAAGGAAATGATTGCTTAATGCTGTCTCTTAAGCTCACATTAGCAGAACAGTACTTTCTGATGACGCAGGGAAAATTCCCAAAAGAAAAAAAACACATCTGAGAGGAAGCACTTGCATGTATGAGGACCCGGATGGCATCCAAAAATTACCATAGACTTGGAAATAAAAAACACAAGCAACTGTAATACAATGACACTACAAATGCAGCTACAGCAGGATAATTAGAACAAAGAGTACATATGACTCACCTTCCTTAAGCATGCCTACACGGAGGCACTTTGTAAATCGACATGCTTGACAAGCCTTTCTGCGCCTTTTGGTAATTTCACACTCATTGCTGGCTGGACAACTGTATTCAATGTTACCTACGACAAGAAAACAGGAGGAAAGCAATCTCAGACTGGTGGTTTCAAGAGGAATATTCACTAATAAGCTGTTTTGCATTAAAATACAGCATCCAGGAATAGTCTATATGTTACGTTGACTGTTTATCAGCATTTCCAATTTATTTTTAATAATCATTTCAAGCCTAGTCAGGGAACTATATTGATCTGAGTTCTACATAGCAAGCCTAATTAGGCTTCTTCTCCTTGTCACTCCAAGATCTTACATAAGATTTTAAAAGTACAAGATGGAAGCACAGCAAGTACCACTAAAAGCAGCCTTGACATTAATAAATAACAGTTTTGACAAACAAGCTAACCATGGGTCCTTTAAAACTATTAGTAGTGCCTAAGTTTAACGCCACTGTATATTGATCACTAGACATGTACAGACATTAAAGTCCAAAACACTACAGAGGGTAATGTAAACATATAGTAAATACATCCATGCCAACACTAAAAAGATAGCCAGGAATAAGGTTCTGCTTACCTATCTGGCTATGAACTAGACTCAGTCCAGTAGGAAAATAACAAATCACCACAAGGACACCATATGCTTTATGCATTTCGTGGTTCTCAAGCACTTATTCATAGACTTATGAATAACTGCTTGAGTAGCACGAAACGCGTAAGGCTTGTGGTGTCCTCAGGGTGATATTATTTTGATACATTTGTGTGCACTATTTTCTATATCATCACCATTACATATTTAAATAACTTTTAATGGGTTTTCAATAAAAGAGTAGTTTTTAATCTTTGAAGTGTTGGTTTTCACATATTGAACACTAAAAAGCTATAACATCACATATACAACATAGTGTGACAATATTAATCAAAAATAATTTAAAAGGGGAGATTTTTGAAGAAAAAAAATCAGGTGCTATTTGTACTGCAAAGCACTAAACGCATAGATTTAATCTATTGCTGATTACTCTTTATTTAGCACTTTGCCTCAATATAGCATGTTTGCCCCTTGATACATATCCCCTATAATATGAAAAATGGTTTAAAGGGACACTAATGCATTATAACAATTTCTTCTCATACCGCTTCAACCATATAGCGCTACGGAATCTGTTGGCGCTATATAAATGGCGATAACAATAATAATAATAATATACATACCACATTATACCAGCAATGAGCAGCTGTGATAGGTTAAATGCGGTCAGCTGACACTCCGCGTAAATCACCGCCACCCACTACTGATCAAGCCACTGCTTCCTCATTAGCTAGAGCAGAACAAAGGATATGAGCTGCTGGGGACTCTCATTTAGCAATAAACCATTAAAATGAGTGTCCCTTTAACAATATATTAAAGGGACACTATAGTCACCTGAACTACTACAGCTTAATGTATTTGTTCAGGTGAGATCTATAGCTCCCGGCAGGCAATCTAATGTAAACACTGTATTTTCAGAGAAAATACAGTGTTTACATTGATTGATAGGAATACCTCCAGTGGCCATCACTCAGACGGCCACCAGAGGGACTTCCTATCATGTAGGGCCCTAAAAAGGCCTTGTACACGTCAGACGTATTAAGATACGTCTGACGTGTGCAGGAGAGAGAAGGCACTGTGTGCGCGCCTTCTCTCACCTGCCTGTCAGGAGAGGAGAGGGGGCAGGCAAAGACCGCGAGCTGAGCTATCAGTCAGCTCAGCTCACGGCCATGCACTCCGCGCACATGCGCGGTAGTGCGCTCAGGACTTCAGAGGGCGGCATTGCACAAGGGAGCAATGACGCTTCCAAATGGAGGCGTCTGATTGCTCCCTGTCGCACCCGCCTATTTCGTCATTTTGACGAAATAGGGGGCGCGGCTTCACGAGGCTCCCGGCGCTGGAACCAGGTGAGTAAACTACTCTGCCTGGAGAGTCCCTTTAAGTAAGGTTCTAAAAGGTCTGTGGACGTTGGGCTCCTCCAAAGTTTTTAAAAGCTGTCTCCTAATTATGGTCTGTATTTATCCTCTATTTTATATACATTTATCCATAACTCTATGTAATGGAAACTAAAGATTATAATCAGGAGCATATATTACAGTAAATAATTTCTATATGCCAATGATACCAGCTATCTTGAAATTCTGGCAGACTTAGAATGCAAAGTCGGTGTCAGGACAATTCAAGTAGTCCATTACACAATTTTAGAGCCACACACCAGATATCTATGAAGGACATCACTGAAGCAAGCCTTGCAAAGTTTTTTTCGGTGAAAGATTCTGTCTATTAGCTGTCAACCAATGAAAATACAGAAAGAGAAAAAGTATGTGAATCTCCTTCTTTTACAGGGCTGCTAGTAATTGGCTTTTAACATTGGCTGAAAACAGGAACTTGGTGAGATTGGTGAGTGCTTTCACTGTATACTAGCGGTTCCTAAACTGTGTGCCGTGGCACACCAGTGTACAGAACACACAGGGGCGTTGCAAAATATTTCCCCGGTGATATGATAGCACTTGGAAACATTTTTGCTGAACAGGGGCTGGTCAGGTATCGCGGCCCTTTAAGACCGAGATCGGGCCTGTGTAGTGTCAGCAGCCTGGGAGGAAGTGACAGCCTGTCACTTCCTCCAAGTTTTGTGGAGAGAGACAGCATGTGGGGGAGAGGAGGCAGCATGAGTGGACAGAGAGGAGAATGAGCACGAAGAGCTACTCCAGACCTCTCACTCCCACCAGCAGGAACAGACCTACAAGCAAGCCATGCTCCTGGACACACAAGGTAAGCTAACAGGAGGGTGGCTGTAGAGTTGGCTAGAGTAATAAGAAATAAACTGTTGTCAATTGCAGAACATTCCACCAAACAGAAAGGTAACCAATAACAACAATGAGCAAATTGACAACTATGTGCAAAGTACATTATGCTAATAAAGGCAAACAAAACCCAAAATAGAAGCTTAGGCATTGGATCAGTTATAACATAAACAATGCCTTGGGCTTACTAGCATTCTAAGAATACTGACATCTGCATTCTTCTCTTGATTCCACTCTTGCTGGAAGCAGTGCACATTTTTGTTTTGGCAAAAACCTTAAGAGCTTATACCCTAAATACTACTGTTGTGAGTTTTTAAATAACTATTCCAATATATATATATATATATATATATATTTATTTTTTTATTATTATTTTCTCAAACAAACCTTTCTCACTGGAAAGCTATAATAAGCTTATACGGTTATCTTACACTCTTAGCCTAACACTTCCTGTCTTGGGGATAGGCAACCTTCGGCACTGCAGATGCTTTGGACTACACCTCCCATGATGCTGTGCCAGCATTATAGCTGTAAGAGCATTGTGGGAGATGTAGTCCACAACATCCAGAGTGTCGAAAGTTGCCTACCCCTGCGAGTCTAGCCTATTAAAGAAGAAAAGACCAAAGAAAAGGCTTTTTTTCCTCTTTAATAAAACGTCCATTGAAACTACTAGCAACTGGGTTTTAAACTCCAAATGCAACGGTCAAAGATAAAAGCGATATTGAAGCCATACACTCCTGCTGTGCAAAGTTTATGGGAAGTGCACAGTTTTGCCATTCAAAATAACAGAAAGGTCAGGATTGGCAGGGGATTGTCACTTAGCAAGTGACATTCAGAAAGGAGTATATTTAGGTTTATTATATGTATTTTGCATTTGTCTATCTGTATTATGTATTAAAAAGAGGCTGGACAAGTGCCTGACTAAAATTAATTCTGTGCAAAAAAATGCATCTGTCATCAGCCCAAACGTTTTCAAACGTTTGACATCAGAGAGAGGCGGTCCAAGCGATCACGTGATCGGAACAAAGCCGGAACCCGGAAGTGTCTAAGCTGTATCGTTTTTTGTGTGTAAATTCCTGCTTATCTAGTTGTGGGTTTATTGCTGGCAAACCCACTACTTCAAGTAAGAGTTTTTAACCTTTTGTTTAAATAAATACTGTGTTTGATACTATTCAATTTGGGCTCCTGCCTCTCTATTTGTTTGTACTGCCTAGATATTACATGTGATTCAGAAGAGTATCCTGTCTTGCTATATTGTGGGTTTATCCCTCTCCATTGGAGCAATTCAAACCCAGAGCCAGGGGCGATAGGGCTCTGGTCCATGTGAGTTGATCCCCAGATATACTTTTAATTTTGCATACGCTGTATATACAGATAGTCTGCACTATATACTGTATATATTTTTTCAGAGTACTCAGAGAAGACCCTAACTCCAGTGCAGTTGCTAGCGCACTCCAACTTTCTGGTATCTATTCTTTATTATTTGCCCATTTTTTTTGTAATTACCTCCCTCGCTTGTCAACAAGTCCAAGTCCCTCCATGGCTCAGAGCATGCGCATGCACTCTGAGCCAGTGAGAATGGTCCAATCAAATGTTTCTCTATGAGAAGCACTTTATTGGACCACAGAGATGGCATCAGTGGCATCAGATGGGGTGTAGAAACCAGCGATGGGGCTTTGCTATAAAGGCTTGTTTTCCAGGTTTATGGGCATAGGGGGTTACTAATTACTAATGCCCAGTAGGGTATTGTAAATTTAAAAATAAAAAAAGCAGCCGTTTAGTGAAGTCATTAAAACATCCTGTCCATGCACCTGAAAAAGATTGGATAGGCTTTATCACAAAATCATTTAACACTCGTAATGCACTTTTATTCACCAGTCATATGGATTTTTTTTTCCTGCTAAACCAAATTCACAAAGTTTTACACTGCAGCCTCTCATCCACAGTCCTTAGTACCAGTTTAGTACAAAATTTTAAGGTTGGAAAAAGAAACTCATTTTTGGTAAAGTTTTAGAGGTCCTACCCTGGCATTGGCATTCCCCTGGCTCACCTTGAATAGTTCTCTTGAAGAAGGCCTTGCATGCTTCACATGACGCTACCCCGTAATGATATCCTGATGCTACGTCTCCACACACCAGACAAAGACGCTTAGGAATTGAGTTGAGAACATATTTGCCCCTTCCAGGGGTATCATCCTGCTCCTCTTCACCTCCTCTGCAACATCGAGGTCCTTGGAGGTCAGGCCCATGCCCACTGCTGTCACTAGATCCACTTGGACTCCGGCGCCCAATACTTTCTGGTGTCCCTGGTTCTGCCTTGATGCACAAATCAGGGCGTCTGTCACGGGAAGACATGCTGTAAAGGAGCCCTGCACAGGACATAGGAAAAGTGTGAGTGCATCCTGAAACAAAAGAGACAAAACAGACAAAGCATCCGTAACATATACATGAAGTATGTAAGATTACAATAAATATAGTCTAGATAATAGATAATATAATTCATTATTTAAAAGATCAACTCTCTGCAATACTTTGCATAATACGAATAAGCCAAAAATATAAATATATATATATATAAAAGTGTTTGACAAATATTTGGCTTGGTGAATTGTTAGTGTAGGACACACCTAAGACGTTTTGCCGTTACTTGGCAAGTGAGCTTACATTTTAATGGCCATTGGAGTGATACTAAAAATATCCAGTAATATCAATGTACATATGGCTTTGTGATAACACTCACATAACTTTGTTTTGTTTCTATAAAACTTTTTTGGCTTATGTACGATCTGAGGTGTGCCAAAATCGCCGGTTAAGGAAAGCTTGAAGAAGGCCAACCAGGGTAGATCATTTATAGAATAATTAAAGGAAGAACATTGGGTGGGGATCAAATCACTGGAGAGCAAGGTATGACAGTACACTCCATTTAAGAAGACCATAGCCCCAACCACAAACCAAACATATTGGCCTTACATTTGTTTTGTTAAAGAACCAGACCTAATTTGGTTCCAACCTGTTTTGTGTTTCTAAAATAGGGAATATGTAAAGATCTTTACTCAATAAAATTTGGGCTCTGGAAATGGCATCTTGCAAGGGACTCCAATTAAGTCAGCAAATAGTGAATTTTAACAAAGACTTACAAAGAATCCAAAATGACCAGACAAGCACAAAATTTCTGCAGACTCTTAACCAACACTCAATGTTTAGTAAATAAAGTCTTTGTGCACTAGTCAAATCAGCATGCTTTATAAATATCCCTTAACAATGGCCCATTACATGCGCATATTAGATTAAGCTCAATATAAAACAATACTGGACTTGCAGAACCTAAAACTAATAAAAACGAAGACAGTCTCCAGAAATGCTCCCCATGCTTAATTGTAGACACTATACTAAACAGACAGTATCTTAGGCTAATGAAAGGGCCAACTAGAGTACACGCACATAGAATATGGGAGAACAAGGGTAAGGAAGACCTTTGCTCTGCTCAAAGCGCATATATATATACACAATTTAGTCAGACAGGTTTTGCAATACCCCAAGGCAAAAAGAAGAGAAGGAAACCAGTAGCAACAAAGTATTGCAAAGGCCATGTTTAGTGCTAAGTACAGGAGTAGTTTGCAAGATCTATATAAACGCATTAAAATCTAAGAATATTTATGAAGTCATGTCTGCACTCACTGATCCTCCAAAACAGTAAGCCTCCTAAATTTGAAATCGATTGGTGCAGTGACCTCCTTGAAATACCTCCTCACCATCTTATGCTCCTTAAATTGTAATAATAGATATCGACTAGTGTTTATGACTATGCTAACTCACGGTTCTTTGTTTAGTTTTGTTCCTTAATTGCTCTCATGTTTTACTTCTTTTTGTTGATTCTTTGCGTTCAATACTTATTTGAGTGCATGCTAATTTCTAGGATGTATGATGATACTTAGTATTCTATATGCAAAAAAAGAAATAAAATAAGTTTTAAAAAAAAGAATTAGGAACAGGGGCTGGCTAAATGTTGGCAAAACTTTGCAGCCACTGTCGACCTTCCCTGGAATAAAGGTCATCACATTCATTGCTGCAATTTTCTACATTTTTCATTTTTGAGCAAGTCTCATTGTACAGTGTCCCCAGTAGCGAATTAATATTAATACTACCCAAAGGTGTGTGCCACAAGTAAGAGTCACACCAACAGGACTACTCACTAAACGGCAATTGCAAATATTGGGCCAATAGCCATAACATTCCCCAACTCAGATATTTTTCTTTTGCCACCTGTGCTAAATTTGCTTAAAACTGGCAATATCAATGTCAAGTCTCCATAATTCCTGGCTTACTGAATAAACCAGCGGGTATATCGAGAGAAAAGTCGCACAGCCATAAAGGAAAGTAAACAATAGTTTTTGATGTGAACTGTTTCATTGGTAGAGGTTACTGTTGGTTTATATATACAGAAAGGGCAAAGAGAATACACAAGAGATCTGGGCAGCAGTCTAGCATTTGGAATGTCAGGGTAGCACTATATTAAATAGATTGTAAGCTCTTGGGGAAAGTCTGCCTCTTTCTATTCACAATTGTTTGTCACTAATTTGTAATTTTTTTATCCCCGCTGTAAAACTGTGAAGCACTGTAGTCACCAGAACCATTATACAAGTCACCAGAACAACTACAGCTTAATGTAGTGGTTCTGGTGTCTATACCTTGATCCCGCAGGCTCGTCAATGTAAACGCTGCCTTTTTATGGAAAGGCAGTGTTTACTTTGCTGCCTAGTAACACATTTAGTGGCTGTTACTCAGACAGCCACTAGAGGTGCTTCATGTATTAGTGCTGCACAATGTGTTCAGCGTCTCCTCCTCTGCATAGAGAACCTGGCCCCTCCCCATAGAGGTGCACTGATTCAATGCATCTCAATAAGGAGACGCTGACTGGCACAGTGCAGCATTTTATTGCGCATGCACAATAGCTTCTCCATGCTTTCCTATGGATTGGCTGAGATCATCCAGATTGATGATTTCAGCATTGGAGGTAGAACAAGGCAGGGACACCGGCGCGGTGAGTAAACGCACCTTCTTACTGCTCTAACAGAAGGGCTGGGGAGCTAAACAGCCAAATCAGAACTACAGTGTCAGGAATACATGTTTGTATACCTGACACTATAGGATTCTTTTACAATAGCAATAAAGGACAAAATGGAACCAGGACTGTGAACACTGCTCTATACAGATATAGTGCCAATCCTGTGAGTTGCGCAGAATTAAGAAAGTCAGATAGGTACAGAACAGGATTGGGTTTTATCATAGTACTATTGGTCAGAGAAAACTTTCAACCTTTGACCCCTCTGCCTTCTAATTACCATCCAATTTCCCAGTTCACTGAATTCAGTTTCTGGGAATGAAATGCACTGCATTTACGAGGTCAATAAATTTCTAAAAGGACATCCTGAGCAGTCAAAAAACAAAACAAAAGAAAAAACAACAAAACAAAAGTTCATGATTAGAAGTGTAACAGTATAAAAGAACAAAAGGTTAGTCTCCTGTGTGTCACATAATTTAATACTCTTGCGGTTTATACAAATATTACAAATAAAGTTATTACTGATATCAAAAACCATCCACAGCAATACAGTGATCCTTGACATTGAAATCCCATTTTAGCAGAGCTGACTACACTACTTCTTTCTGTTCACTTTTACATATTTGCCATATTCGGCACTAAAATATAAGTTGGCGCTATATCTAAATAAAAGTAAAAACAATTCATGCACACTATTCACACTGAGTGTTATTAATGCAACTGTATATTTCTGACACGTACACACATATAGAACAATATATGTTAAACTAGAACACATGTAGTGGTGTGAAATTAGACATTTTGTGCATAAAACTGAGATTTTAAATGCTATCGTACAGTCTCCTGAGGCTGGTGTACGAAGAGATTGGTGACTGACCCAATCTCTAGTCTGGGTTCATCGGTTAACTCCCTATGACCTTGGTTCAAAGTCACTGTATTTCTTCCAGGAATAAAAAAAGAGTGCAAGCTTTGCATATGCCATGCATGTGATTTTGTGTAGTATAATTCTTATATATTATCTTTACAGCAACTACTACTACTTAGAAATGCATGTTCCAGGTGTGCCCCCATTCCCCCTTTTTTTCTGTGTAAATTAAAAAGCAAACAGTTCTGTTACGCTTAGACATTTTATAAAGTTGAGGTAAAAGTAGAACTTTTAAAACAGAATATTGTAACTTCACCCAGAACTGATATATCTACATGGATACAAATAACATAAAGACATATTATATATGATACATAAACTATGATAATTATGTTTTACAAGTGAAATTGAAGATAGCATTTTGGAGGATACAGGTGGAACAAGAAGCATATTGCAATTTTTTTGGATGGGGTAATAGTAATTATAAAATAAACATTTCTTGCAATTCTCAAAACAAGTGAGCTGTTGGGTAAGGCAATATTTACAAAGTAATTTGTTCATTCATGATGCAAACAGGCATATCTATAGAACACTTAGTTAAAACCACATAACCTGAACTTTTCAAACAGTCTATCAGTGGACACATTCTAAACACAATTAAAAATTAGAGATTATTTTATATATTTATATATTAATTTAGTATTTTAGCATAAACCAGTTGATTAAAATAAAATTCAAAAACATTAATTCATATTGAGGTTATAAAAAAAGTACACATCTATAGATATGCCTATATATATATATATATATATATATATATATATACATACATATATACACATACACACACACACACACACACACACACACACACATACTGTCTAATAATAGTGAAAGTACAAATTAGTTGGCAAGAGAAGCAAAACTTACTACTTTGTATTTCTATACTGATGTCTCAAGTGAAAAGGGACATAAATAAAGAGCAATAAAAATGATCATAAGTAAGAGTAAACTGGGTATTGTTAATATGCACCTTTTTATGACAATAAAACATTTTTATTACATGCAAACACATAACACAACAATTCCTAATAAACAAAATACAAAAACTACTTACACACCAATACATGCACTCAACTAACACACTATATATTATTACTATTATTATTATTTATAAAGCACCAACAAATTCTGTAGCGCTGTACAATAGGTGGACTAAAAGACATGTATATGCAACAAGACAAGCAGGACGCACAGGGACAGTGGGTATAGAGTACATACATTTGGTTTGCAGTCTTAACTTCTTAGTAATAAGGGATGCAAAATATACAAAACGTAAAATATAGAATTCACATTTTACAACACAAACACACATATATATATATATATATATAAGATAAAACACACACATATAACAAACATAATTAAACACGTTCACGTATACCATAAATATAAATAAAAGCGCACACATATACCATAGCCCCCTCCGGCTGGGAATACTCACGTCAGGGTCCTGTTGTCATTCCGCTGTGTGGATTCCTGGGGTCCAGTGTCACTCTGGTCTACACACTGTCTGTCTCTGTATATGTGTGAGTATTTGAAGTAGTACACATATGTGTTAGCAGTCTGGCTGTGTGACAGTACACACTGTGTATGCCTGGCTAGCTCTGTGTAGCTGTGCAGTGTGTGTACATGGTCCTACAGACACACTCAGTGTATACAGTGTGAGTGTTGCTAGTTAGCTGTAGTGGCTGCAGTGTATGTATATAGCTGGCTGTAGGACACAGCAGAGGACAGAGCTTTTTTTCCCCCCTCTCTCACACACTAGCAGTGTCACACACTCAGACACACAGGCACACTTCCTACTGTAGCTCCTCCCCCTCCTCTGCTCTGACAAGCTGGGAAGGGGCGTGGCCTCGGTGACCACATGCTCACCAGCCTCATTACATATGCCATGAGTCTGACGGGGGGGGAGTGGGGGGCTGGGTGACCTCTACTGCGCATGCTCCCCAGCCTTATTGCATATTCCAGGAGCCTGGCAGGGACCGGGTGCTTTCTACTGCGCATGCCTCCCAGATCTGATCTATGTGTACACTTCTAATGAGTAGCTGATCAGACTGCATTGCACATTCAATTAGCTTAATAAATAGCCTTCATTTCACTTCTGCGTACAGAGGGAACTGGGGCTGTGTGAGTAAACTATACATGTATGTTTTAAACATATAGATAGATATATAAACATATATGTGCATATTAAATAGGAGAGAGAGGGAGATAGCTCTGTACACATGTGTGCCTATATATAGTGACTGCCTATAGACAGAGAATACCAGTGTTCTTAGAATGTCTGTGTTTCTGTATCATTCTGTGTGAATAGAATTCCGGAGAAGTCATGTAGTTACAATGTGACAGGTTTTCAGTGACTTTGTCTCCTTGAGTTGGACCCTCTTGTCCCTGTGCCTCGTGTGAGCTTTTTTTTCTTTGTCCTGTGACCTTGGGCAAGCTGTACAGCTGATCTGCTATGTCTGTCATAGAAATATGTAGGACACGTGTGAGTGACACCAACGAACAGCCAAGAGAAAGTACCATGTCCTTCAAACGACCTTCACTCCAAGAACGCCTTCTTGCAGCCAATCCAAGTACTCCCTGCTGGAGGAAACAGCGTTAGCAGGATCGGTGCACTTCTAAGAAAATCACATAAATTCAATCGAGCGTTACACATATATTTTTTTTATTAAAATACCACTATATGTCTTAATTGTATTTTACTTCTTGTGTCTTATATGTAATTGTTTTGATATGGTTTTACAGTATTGTATACACAACCCGTTATTAGAACACTACCTGCTAAGTGACAGTTTTTTTAAAGGATAGACTGTCTTTCAGTTCCATGTCGTCTCTGCCTCAGTGTAACTCTTTTCCAGGAGCTCACAATGTTTGTTCTATGAGAATCACAGAGATTCTACGCAATATAACTAAGATAATGTAAATGTGTGCCTAGCATGAGCAAAAAATATAGTGGAAATATTTTAACCCTTGCAAATCATGCATGTACACGATGACCGTATTATTTTACATTGTGTACTGAAACTTTTCACTATTTTTCATTTCACTGTGTTACTAGTGTGAAAGATTCCATTAGAAACAACCAAGCATATTTTATATTTCCAGTTCAGATTTTGGGCCCATACTTGTAATTCTCTTTTTATTCACTCCAGGATTATTCACTAAAATCTAAATTGTAGCAAACTGGAATCCAAATGGCAAATTTAAGTTTAAAATAATCAGGCTGTGACTTTAGCCAAGTTGGCATTTTCCCAGAACAGTTATGTTTGCTAAGATCTGATTTTAATTTGTTACAATTTGGAGTTTAATGAACAAATGTCAGTTTGTCTATTGTACCCAAAATTTTACAATTCTGGGTTTTTTTTCACTACAGTTCACTGTAGTGAATAGGTCCCTAATAATTATATTTTCCTCAGACGCTATTTTCCTTTGTAAAAAAATCGTATTACTGCCTCATAATATCAGCCACATGAAAGAGTTATAAAAGATCTTAAATGGCTAGATCTCAGCTTACGGACATGGTCCTCTCTACCTTTTGTATATGTCTGTGTATATTGCAGGTTCTCTGTACTAATTGTACAGCGTTGCAGAATCTGTTGGCGCTTTATAAATACCAGTAATAAATAAATAAAATATCATCTGAAGCCACGTTCATATATAGTCTGACAGAAATATTTCTGACATTTACTTATTTGCATTCAACCTGAACTAGCTACGACTGGAAAGAGCTGGTACATGCTACCATTTGACACATTCTATACAATTCCAGTACCACAGGTAGCCTTGAGTATCCTGAACCTAAACGAGTCCACAACTAAAGTCTTAGCAGTCATAATATCAACAGCGACTGTTTGCATGAGATTCCGAAGGGTTTATCGGTTAAACAGCAACTTGTGGTGAATTATAAACTGAATTGCAATATAGAGTGCCTAAACAGCTGAGTTGTAAAATGTCTCCATCTCAGCTGTGGTCATAGCTTGGCTATATTAGCCTTAATGTTGTAGTATTGTTTCTATTTCACTGCTATTTGTTTTTTTGCTAAATAAACCAGTGACTGCTGCAGGGAATTAGCTGTGTCTATGAAGGATGTGGCGGGATCCCCCATAGACCTCAAAGCTGTACTCTCCCGCATGCGCAAAAGTACAGCAGTAACGTCGGTTTCCTATAAGAGCAGCATGAGAAAGATGGCGGCACCTGTGAGCATGAGAAAGATGGCGGCACCCGCGAGGGACAAGTTTAGGTAAGTAATCTTACTTTGACCTGTCCCCTGTGGCCACCGGACCACCAGTGTCAATGTCACCGTCGGGAGACTTTGCAAATTCAAAACAGGCCTGTGTGTTGCTGTGGTTTGTCAGTCCCACATAGATTCTAGATACAGCAGGCTGGTCTGTCTTAATATCCGACACACTGCCTCCAGCTGCCGCAGCGGTTGGAGTGACTTTGTACAATCTAACAGGCTGGTTATTAACAAGTGACCATGATGAAACTTGGCTAAGCGTGGCCCATTCACCATATCTCTGTTAATAGTAGGGTAACCAGCCTTAATCTTTCCCTGCAATTCACTGTTTTATGAACACAGTCATCCCAAGTCTCCTGGTAGTTTTGGGAGACTCCTTCATTCTGCATGTGGCTCCCTGACACCCGCAGAACATGTGTAATATCCCAGAAATCACACACACAATCTGACATACAATGTATATCATACATGATTTGAGGCCATCTTACCTCATACTAAGTAGGACCCAGTGGGGTGCTGGCCCTTTAAGAGCCCACGATAAGCTGGTAGGGAGGAAGTGATGTCAGCCTATCACTTCCTCCCTGTTTCACAGAGATCCGCACAGGAGGACTGGTGGGAGGAGGCAGCATGGAGTCTGCAGAGCCACACAGCAGCATGGAGAGAGAAGCTGCCCAAGCATTCTCACTCCCATCAGCCTCAGCCATGACCTGTGCATCACGCAAGCCACCCTCCAGGAGACAACGGTAAGCTAACAGGTGAGTATCTGAGTGTTTGTATCAGTGTGTGTGTGTGTGTATCTGTGTCAGTGTGTGTGTGTATCTGTGTGTCAGTGGGTGTGTATCTGTATGTCAGTGTATGTATCTGAGTGTTTGTGTCAGTGTGTGTATCTGTGTGTTTCTGTCAGTGTGTGTATCTATGTTTCTGTCAGTGTGTGTATCTGTGTGTTTCTGTCAGTGTGTGTGTGTATCTGTATGTCAGTGTGTGTATCTGAGTGCTTGTGTCAGTGTGTGTGTGTATCTGTATGTCAATGTGTGTATCTGAGTGTATGTGTCAGTGTGTATGTATCTGAATTTATGTGTCAATGTGTGTATCTGAGTGTATCAGTGTGCATATCTGAGTGTGTGTTTCAATGTGTGTACCTAAGCGTATGTGTCAGTGTGTGTGTACCTGAGTGTATCAGTGTGCATATCTGAGTGTGTTTCAGTATGTGTATTTGTGTGTCAGTTTGTATCTCAGTGTGTATTTGTGCCAGTGTGTGTATCTGTGTATCAAGGTGTTCATACATGTTTGCCGGTTGTGTGTGTGTATGTGTGTGAGGAGGGTGCAAGTTGGATGTCTGCGAACAATTTCATTAATATATTGAAACTAAAATGCTATAATAGAATCTTTGGTTCAGTTTTGGTTAGCTAAAAGGAATACACTTAAACATAACAAAAGTGGGATCAAGCTCTGATTGTGTGAGAAAATTTACAGGGTTGTTCACTAAACGGAAAAGTGAATTACAAATTTGAGGCCAAACTGGAAAAATTCCACCAAGTCCAAACTAGCTAGTAGTTTGACTATTTAGGCCCTAAATTTGAAATTCACTTTGAATTCCTGACTATTGTCATTTTAGTGAATAACCTACACTGACAGTTCAAGGAACACTCTAAGCTTTAAAACTAATATGGTGCATTGGCCTTTGCCTAGTTACTGTCCTTCTAGGTTGATAATTGTAAACAACGCCATTTGCGGGAAACTTCAATTTTTTACTATTGCCTGTCAATCAGCCCAAAATGTACATTCTTCACGTTCAGCGTCATGACAACACCAAATGCTCCCATTTTCCCCGTAGAGAAGCATTGTAATTGTTATGTACAAATTGGGATAATAACTGGGACAAAGGAAGGCCTGGGCATTTTAAAGCAGTCAATTTGAAAATTAATTATTAGTGATACAATGTAGCCACTCATAAAAAGACAACATGCTGGAACAAATTCTGCAAGCCATGCTACATACTAATGGCAAAGGCCAAACAGCAACTCTACGACACTATTTCTAATGACATGTACTTGGTTAGCAGACTTAAAGGACCACTATAGTGCCAGGAAAACAAATTTGTTTTCTTGGCACTATATAGTCCTTAGGTCCCCCCCCTCCCGCTGGGCTGAAGTGGTTAAAACCCCTTCAGCCACTTACCTTAATCCAGCGCCGGGCTCACTCAATGCTTTCCTCTGGACATTCTGCGTGCTCAATGTGATTTTCGCACTGAGCGTCGCGGAAGCGCCTCTAGCCGCTGTCAGGAAGACAGCCACTAGATGCTGGATTAACCCAGCAATGTAAAAATAGCAGTTTCTCTGAAACTGCTGTGTTTACAGCTGCAGGGTTAAAACCTGGGGAACCTGAGCTGAAGTAGTCTGGGTGATTATATTGGTCCTTTAAAAGTAAATGACTATGCCAGTCAGTGAGATCCTGTAATCTCTCTAGCCAGCCTTTGGCCTGTGATCCCATGGGCATTCCATAGTTTAACCAATGTCCATTCTGGGTCTACATGTAGAATACGTTCTCTTTGGAATGCTGAAGTAACTCTCACACAACAGCTGTGGGCATCCTTTTAAATGGGCGGAGGGGGGGAATCATATCTATTTACAACTCATTTATTTATTTTTGCTCAGTATATATGACATTGGTGGTTTCATTGTACATGTTAGATCAGTATTAGAGTGATTGTCATTTAGAAGCATAGTGCATGGGTGTATGAGGACAAATGGCTGGGTTTCCATTCAGGGTCTATCACTTCCTCTTGGGGGAATGAAGCAACATTGCATTTGCTACATCTCCAATTGGGACAGGTTTGAGTACACATATTAAGTCAGGTAAATTAATTCACCACATCTTCTCACATGCATTAAAGGAACAATATAGTCACCTAAATTACTTTAGCTAAATAAAGCAGTTTTAGTGTATTGATCATTCCCCTGCAATTTCACTGCTCAATTCACTGTCATTTAGGAGTTAAATCACTTTGTTTCTGTTTATGCAGCCCTAGCCACACCTCCCCTGGCTATGATTGACAGAGCCTGCATGGAAAAAAAAAACTGGTTTCACTTTCAAACAGATGTAATTTACCTTATATAATTGTATCTCAATCTCTAAATTGAACTTTAATCACATACAGGAGCCTCTTGCAGGGTCTAGCAAGCTATTATCATAGCAGGGGATAAGAAAATCTTAATTAAACAGAACTTGCAATAAAGAAAGCCTAAATAGGGCTCTCGTTACAGGAAGTGTTTATGGAAGGCTGTGCAAGTCACATGCAGGGAGGTGTGACTAGGGTTCATAAACAAAGGGATTTAACTCCTAAATGGCAGAGGATTGAGCAGTGAGGCTGCAGGGGCATGTTCCATACACCAAAACTGCTTCATCAAGTTGTTCAGGTGACTATAGTGTTCCTTTAAAGTCGTCCATGTGTCCAGAGTGTCTCTTTAACTGATCACTAACAACTGTAGAAATGGGAGTGCACAAAACTTGTTCACAATTGGTTTCCTGAATTACCAGATATATGGCTAGTAAAGTGGTATGTATTCCTGTCTCAGGAACAATACACTAGAAACTATTACATTGTACTAACTAATAGTACCTCAACAGCAAGATACACATTATGCAAAATTTTTGTTGTTTTGGTAAAGTCACTCACATTGCTTGACTTCAACTTTGTGATAGCTGTGTTCGATGCTAGTGTCACTACTACAATTTTTTTTTTGTAGTTTACACCTTAAAAAGACACTTTAGGCACCCAGACCACTTCATCTCAATGAAGTGGTTAAGGTGTCATGTCTCCCATTTTACCCTGTAACTGAAAATATTGTCATTCTACAGAACACATTGCAGTGTTAGATGCCTTTAGTGGCTGTTACTCAGACAGCCACTAGAGGCACATTGAGGACATAGCAGAATCAACCTATGCTATTTCCTATCAACCTATGCTATGACCAATTGATTGGCACAGTGCAAAACTTTTCCGTGCATGCACACCCAATGCTTTCCTATAGGACAGTGATGGCGAACCTATGGCATGCATGCCACAGGTGGCACGCCGGGCCCTCTCTGTGGGAATGCGGCCATAGGTCGCCGGGGCAGGGGGCCGCTGTCTGTCTGCATCAATGCAGAGTAGGCACCTGCCTGTCCAAAACGGCAGGTGCCTACTCTACTTTCTTGTCGGGAGGACCTGAAGCAGGGGGATGGATCTCGGCAGCAGCTCTCCTGTCCTCCCGCGAGCGATCTGTGTGGAGCATTGCCACGCGTTACCATGGCAACGCTCCACACAGCATCGCGCGGGAGTACAGGAGAGCTGCTTCCCTGTCACGGACTTCCCACCAACGGACCACCAGGGATG